CTCCACTCAGGCTCGTCATACGGGTATTTTGGATGCGCCCTCTAGCGGAATTTCGTAGAAAACTAACAACTCGAAAATTAGGAATTTCTCTTGAGGATAGTGAGATGCTCCACAGACTGTTGCAGTCTCAGATGTACCTGCAGAAAGCACAACCTTGAATGTTCTGCAGATTGTGGTCAATGTCGAGGATTTGGATGCACACATGTAGTTCAGATATCTGATGAAGATAGCGATGACGATTAGCAATTACATTAATCAAACAATAAACTTTTGGACAGAAATATAACTATTTAATACAGTTTGTTAAATCAAAAATATAGTTTATAGAGTTGAAATGTTATGTTTAAATGTCTATTATGTATATAGTGTAGCAGATTTGTAGATCCAACCAAGGTGTTTCATTCCTCTAGTTTTTCGTTTAGATGTGACGGCCATGTTGGATTTATGCAAATGAAGCATCCGTCTACCAAGGAAACCATTTATTTACATTATTTCTGTACTGTACGATTCTGTTTAAAATTGTATTCTAGCATCTTAAACTTATTACTTATGCCACATAGAGGAGAAGCCGGAAAAAAGTTACATTAAATAATTATATTATCGCGGCCATATTGGATTTATGCTAATTTTCATCTTCCCAATCAACACATTTGGCACTCTCATACCTTCTCCGACTCAAAACAGTAGTACCATAGCATCATGAATTTTTTAAATACCTCATCTAGAATTAAAGATATGTTCAAATAGTTATATTTCCATGAAACATATGCATAGCCGTAAACATCGAAATTGCATTACAGCAGCATAAATGACAATTGTACAAAATACTTAACAATCTGGTATTTACCGAGACGACTGAAGTGATATTTGTAACAATGCAAATGCCAAAAATGCGAATTCTATTTTCTGGAAATTTTTGACGCTGTGGTTACACACTAAAATGCTGTTCACAGGGTTTCATTTCATCATATACTCAGGTGGTACGCATTGCATAGTTACTTGCAGTAAATATTTGTTGGATTTCAAAGTGCGAATGAAACATGTGCATCGTCGTAAACACCGAAATTGAATAACGGCAGCATTGTGCAAAACACTCAATAACCTGGCAGCGGTTGGATTCGAACCCACGCCATCGAAATGACTGGTGCCTTAAACCAGCGCCTTAGACCGCTCGGCCATGCTACACATAATTGCTTTACTAAAACGATGCAATTACCCTGAAACACAAGCATTTCCTGTGTGTTTGGGTATTTACCGAGACGACTGAAGTGATATTTGTAACATTACAAATGCCAAAAAGGCGAATACTATTTCCTGGGAATTTTTGATGCTGTAGTTACTCGCCACAAATGCTGTTCATAGGGTTTTATTTTCAAATGTGCAAAACAGCCATTTTGAATATATGCAAATTAGGTATATTTCGGGAGCCTAGATTTTCCTAGACTTTTAGTATGTCAATCTAGATATATTTCCAAAAGGCACTGTGAAGAAATTATTTCTGTTGCAATTCGTGACACAAAACACAAATTTACATTACATTATAATACAATTATTCATTTATTATCTCTTATCTTGAGATATGTATTTATTTCATTTATTTACAGTATCATTAGTTTTTCCTTTTGTTTGTTTTCTCTTTTTATTACATGTTTTTGAATTTATTGTATTTTATGTCAAGA